TTAAGGTCTCTTTGAGACAAGGCCTCCCTGTAGCCCAGGATGGCCTGGAACTCACTGTTGTAGACCAGGCTGGCCTCGAACTCACAGAGATCCGCCTGCCTCTGCCTTCCGAGTGCTGGGATTAAAGGCATGTGCCACCACACCTGGCTTCAACTTTTTGCATATCATTAATATTTATTTTCTTCTAAAGGGATTGTCCCTCTAAAATATTTTCTGAGACCTTGCCTGACAGTGGGAGCAAGTGATTTTTAGGCATAATTTTGACCTCAATTTTCAAAGAATATGCATGTTCTTCTACACAGCTTCCCTAGCACAATTTTTTTCCAGTAATTATCTCACAACAGGGGTTCCAAACCCTATTTTGTCTGAAAATTAAGAGTCATAGACTTCCTCAAAATTTAATTAAGTTCAATTCCAAGAAGAAATATGTGCACGTGTGGGGGGGGTTGCTAATGTAAAGAACAAAGGAAAATGTGTGTGTATGTGTGTGTGTAAGAAGAGTGAATCAGATTTTTAAAAATTCCATTTAGTTATTTACTGGCTTGGAGGCATATATTGAGTTTTAAAAAGATGAATGCCCTTTAACCCAGTACATTTGTTTTAGCTGGTCCCTATGTCTACAGATTTATTGTTCTTTCATAGTGCTGCCTTCTGAGATGAAACCACGTTGTGTGATCTACCTACCTTAGATCAATAAGCAGCTTCGGCCATTTACTGCAAGGTTAAAACTCATTTCCTTAGCCTCCGTAATTCCTCTGATCCTGACTTAACTTTCTAGTTATATTTTTCACTGTGTCCCCAGGTGTCCCTGTAAATGCCTACATTCTTTTTCATGGCTTCTTATGCAAAACCCTTTCATAGCTTGGAGGGTTTTTCCTGCTGATGGCTTAAGATGCGACTCAAGCATCAGTTCCTCTAGGGCTCTTTCCTTCCTCCTTTCCAAGAGGACACTTAGTGTGAGATGGATGTCCCTCCTCTATGACCTAGCCCCACTTCAGCAAAAGCTCTAACTCATAAGAGCACAGTAGTCAATCATATCACTTATATGCCAGTGAGCTCCTAGAGGCAGGGCTCATGGCTTATTCATTTTTGTGTGTTCCAGTGCTAAGCACAGCACCTACAATTTAACAGGTATGCAAGAAATAACAGATGAGTGTCTCTATCAGTCCATTTAATGCTATGCTGAATTTCAAAGTATACCTTCTTAGTGGAGCAATGTAGAACCAATAACAGGAGGCAGAAGAGATTTTGAAGTCAGACAGACCATAGGTAAGATTTTATTTTCTTTAAGTGATATTAGTAATGAGTCAATTACCTTTCCAGAGTATTGATATATAGAGATATTTAGCAATACTGTTAAGTGTTGAAGATTTACCCAAATATAAATGCAAGAACCACTAATTATGGTGCCCAGTATAGAGTGAGTATTCCCTAATTGTGCCATCCAGATGAGTTTTTAACCTAGGCCTGCCTGACCTATTAGGTCATTTTTTATAGTATAAATTCAACCAACACTTGTTTTATCTTTGGTGACAATACCATTTTGGGATACCAGAAATATCTCTATTGCTTGTGATCAAAGGATTCCTGTTTTTACAAACACACATGCACACACATACTCACATGTACACACACATGCACATGCACACGAACATGCAACGTATTTCAAACAACTCAAATCTTCTGTTGGTTTTCTCAGTATTTTCTTGGCATGTGAATAGTTTATTTCCAGATATATACATTTTATTTATTTATGCATCACTGTTCATTCGCAAGCTGTTAAGGCACCAACTTGGGAGCCAGAGTTTGAATCATAAACCTCCTGACTTAACTTACCTGTACCTCAGTTAAAATGTGGTTAATAGCACTTACCTCAAAGATTGAGGGTAGGATAATGATTGGGTTAACATTTGTAAATCTATGTAAACAGCATCTGATGACTATTTCAGAACAATGATCTCTTGCCTGATTTTGCAGTCCCCTGAGACAAGGGATCTTTAAAAACCTATTTTCAAGCCAGCCATGGTAGCACTGACATGCAGTCCTAGTCCTAAGTCAGAAGGCTTACGCAGAAGATCATGAATTTGAGGCTAGACTGAGCTACATTGTGAGAACCTATTTCAAAATCCAAATCAAGCAACCAAACAAGCAAACAAAAACAAAGAAAAGAGCTGCAAAATTACCATTTAAATGTCAGTTTTATTTTCTAAGTTTTGACTCAATAAACATTTGTTCACTGTTTATAGACACTAGGATCTAGCTCCCTTTTCCCCTTATTTTCGGTGTGGGAAAGGCACCTGGTGAAAATGATCTTCGACTGATATGTTTGTTGAAGAGTCAAATAACATGAGAGGTACTATAACCATGTCATGCTGTAGCATGGCTTCATTGAATTACAACTTATAGGAAGTACTGCTTACTGAGAAACTCATTTAAAGCCACTGAACCCAGAGCTTATAATTAGGTAGACATTCCTAAAGAGCACCTTGTAATAGCTGACCATTTATGAGTAAAACACTTTAAAATATCATATGTAGTAGGCTTGTTAAAGAAATATTTAAGATTGTGGCTAGAGAGATGGTTCAGTCCCTAAGAGCAGTTACTGCTTATGTAGAAGACTCGGGTTTGACTCCCAGCACCCACAAAGCAGGTCTCAACTGCCTGTAACCAGATCCAGGGCATCTATCATCCTCTTTTGACTTCCACGGGCATTACATGCATGGTGGTGCACATACAAGCAGGCAAAACATACATATACATAACACTTTTTAAAAATTAAGCTAATTAGAAGAAAGCATGCAGATTTGTAAAATTGATTAGATTCTTTACAAATCTCTTTTAAAACTCATCCTTGCCAGAAGTGGGTAAGAAGCCCCATCCCTACCTGAGGAAGAAGTGGGTAAGAAGCCCCATCCCTACCTGAGGAAGAAGTGGGTAAGAAGCCCCATCCCTACCTGAGGAAGAAGTGGGTAAGAAGCCCCATCCCTACCTGAGGAAGAAGTGGGTAAGAAGCCCCATCCCTACCTGAGGAAGAAGTGGCTGCTGGAAGGGGAAGAATCAGTCTTAAGGGTGACCTGGCCAGGCTTCAGTGGATGAACCCACACTGAAGGGCATTTGGGGACACAAATTTGACTCTATCGACACACACACACACACACACACACACACACACACACACACACGAGTATATGAAATTGTTTGGGGAGCCGTAAGCAGACGGGGAGGAGATCTAAATATGGTCAAAATATATTGTATGAAATTCACAAAAATTCAGTTGAAAAAGTTGAAAACATTCTTGACACATTCAATTATAAGTGATGTTTTCAATCCCATTTTTAACAGCTTCACACACACACACACACACACACACACACACACACACGAGTATATGAAATTGTTTGGGGAGCCGTAAGCAGACGGGGAGGAGATCTAAATATGGTCAAAATATATTGTATGAAATTCACAAAAATTCAGTTGAAAAAGTTGAAAACATTCTTGACACATTCAATTATAAGTGATGTTTTCAATCCCATTTTTAACAGCTTGTTGATAGTTTGACACATTCCTAAGCTCTAAGCTGTGTTTTGACCTTAGAATGAAGATGCCCTGAATTCTTACAGGAGGCCATAAGGTCCTTCCACCAGAGCCTTGGGAATCTTTCTCTTTCTTTGCCTAATAGCTCACCTTTCCATTGAGATTGTTTCTAAGATTGTTTTTTTATTGCTTTTTGAAGTATGGTATCAGCTACAATATTGGTATTAAGGGATCTCCTTACTGAAGAAATACTGGATTTGTGGGGATAAATCCCTTCTTAAAGAAAAAATGAAGTTGGGGCTGGAGAGATTGCTCAGTGGTTAAGAGCACTAGCTCTTCCAGAGGACTGGGGTTTGATTTCCAGCAACCACATGGTGGCTAATAACTGTCCATAACTCCAGTTCCAGGGGATCTGACACCCTCTTCTGACCTTCGCGGGCATTGCATGACAAGAGTGCGCTTATACACATGCAGGCAATACACTCATACACAGAAAATAAAATTAATAAATAAAATATCTAAAAACTTTTAAAAAGAAAAAAAGAAAAATGAATTGGCACAGAAATCTTTTCAAGATACAGAATTTGATGTTTTTGGTATGTAAATAGTTATGTATGTGGCTAGTATTTGCGTTTGAATGTCTGTAGAGAATACAGGGAAATATTTATTGGTAAAAAAGTGCTGATGTTGCAACAGATAAATTTAATTCAAATGTATTCAAATTTTTATGTATCCTTTAAGCTTCTGAAACAATTCAGAAACTCTTCTGCATAGTCCATATATCACCAAGCCGTTAGCTCAGGGAGTTTTGCATGAACAAGTCCCAGCTTGGTTAAAGGCATTCATAACTGCAGTCACAGACCCAGGCATTTTGCTGCTGTTCAGGTATAGCCTAAGAATATATTGACAGAGACTTGGGAGACTAGGACAACCTATAGCCTCATTCAGACCTCTGGTTGATTCTGGTCATTTCACTTCAGTGGGACTATAGAATAAAAGGACACTGCTTGAAGGGAAGTGGAGACAAGTATTAACACACCTGGAAATGTGGCCTTAGGCACCCAGCTAAAGGATCTGGCTAGGAAGGGACTTGTGATCTAGCTGGCGGTGGTGGATGCAAGAGCAACAGAAAACTTTCTTGATTGGTGGTTTCCCCAGTAACCAAAATTACTGTATGTTGTGTGTGTATGTCAGGGGGTGGGGGGGAGATGGATTCTATAGAAGTGTTATTTATGGATCTTTCTGGTTTGGAACACTGGGTTATCATCTTTCACACACATTACTGTGCTTGACTGTATGAAACAATGAAAATTTATAATAGTTTGTAAGAGTGTTTTGGTGCAATGAAACTGTATTACCCTACAATGAAATGAGACATTCTGGATAGCTTTGAATTCCTTGGGGTGGAAACTTTTAATAATTAGGAATGCTGTGGAGGGAATTTTAGTATCCCCCTCTTTACAAACTCAGAGATTAAAACTTCAAAACATTTTTACTAGATTGCCATTGTGGTTGATTTATAACACATGTTAATAGCATCCAAGTGAGCAGGGTTTTCATGAAGCAAAGAGTGCTGGTCCTGATGAACAGGAGAGCTTGCCTTCTTTCTCCTTCTCAAAGGAACCGAGTCTTTTATTAAGCAATGCCAATTTCTTCAAAAAGGAAATGGAGACTCATAATGTTGCGCTTTTACTTTGTTGTACAGGTGTGAGAAAGGCTACTTTGGGGCGCGGTGTGAGCGAGTGGACTTGTTTTACCTCCAGCAAGACAGAGGACAGGTTCTGGTGATTTGTTTGATAGCAGTTATGGTGGTATTTATCATTCTGGTCATTGGTGTCTGCACCTGCTGTCAGTAAGTACTGAAACAATTCTATACAAACCTGAGGGATTACATCTTGCCTTCTTCCTTTTCTTCCTTCTTTCTCTCCTTTTCTAGCATTGTTTCCCTTTTGCTTTCATTAAACTAAATCTACTCATTGAAGCTTGCTTTCATTTCTATTGAAATACTTATTTATAATGAAGCACATAATAGATAATTTATCACTGTACTGCCAAAAATTATTATAACTCAAGCAAAATTTATAGAACTGTTTTAGTTTTAAAAAGCCAGGCATTTAATCCTGATGGCAGATGTATTTTGCATTTGTTAGTAGTCTAAAGAAAATGTTCATTTTCTAAAACTGTATCATCAACAATAATATTGAAAAATAGAAACAATCCCAAACATTGTTTGACCATGTTAAAATAAGATAATTTTATGTGCACATAATTCTACATTTTTCCTTATCTTTAATTTTCATTGTATGTTTGAAATCAAGAAAATTTTTATTTTTTCTTTGAGAAAAAGTGAGTTAGTACATTAGTTAATAACTGAGTTTATTTTAAAGCCGACCATTCGTTAAAATGCTTCTTCTCACCTTCAGGAACCAGTTCAGCCTTGTGAACTGTTGCCTTTTTCTGCTGTGCTGTGGTCTACACCAGAAGAGAATGTCTCATAATTTCTTTATTGTGTTCTTAGAAGAAAAAAGAACTAGCATAGACCAGCTCCACCATTATGTATTTTTAAAGCTTTGGATAAATTTCTTGATGTCTTTGGATGTTAATTCTAGTTTCTGTAAGACAAAAGTATTAAACTAGGCTGTTTACAGGAATCTTGTTAATTTGAAGAATAGCTTTGAGTTTTTGTACTCCATGGTAGAAAGGAAAATTTTTGATGCCAAGTTTGGGGCAGAGAATGAGTTGGGCAAAGCTTAGAAATGACCTATTTTGTTATATTAATTTTGAACTGCACATTCAGGAAATCCTGGAGTTCAGTCTAGAATATTAGACCAATTTCTGCTTAGAAATTTAGCTTTTTTTTTTCCAGAGGCTTCTGTCACACTTTTTTTTCTTATGCCCGTTTCTAACTTCCGCCGCTTCATCTATTCACACTAAGTAATGCTAACTTTTCTACCTTATTAAATAACTTTGCCTGAATTTTTTTCTGCTAACCAATAACTACCAATAATCCATTTATATTGTATTTATATAACTATACTGTACCACCCCACACACTGTGGCATATTATAGCTACTTTGAGCCTACAAAAAGAAACATGCTAAAAGAGAACTCAATTAATTTAAGATGGAAAGGGACTTTTTAACAGTGTAGAAATAAAATCACAAGCTCTCTTATTCAATAATTTTGTATTTACATGAACTAACAGACTCAGACTAATTTCTAACGTGTTATTTTCAAAGTCCTCTTCGGAAACATCGTAAAAGAAAGAAAGAAGAAAGAATGCAAACTCTGGGTAAAGACAAAACTCCCATAAGTGAAGATATTCAGGAGACTAATATTGCATAATGGTAAGTCTAGTAAACTTAGCGGATGGGAAACCATTCAGGTGGCCTGAAGTGGTAAGTTGTGGCTTAATTATGCCTAATAATCACTGATAAGTACTGATTATATTGACATACATCTAAAAATTCATTGCCTTTAATGGAACCTGAAGATTTTGTCATAACTATATCATGACACAATAACGTGGAAAAATAGAAACAAACCCAAACATTTTCTGTTTGACCATGTTAAAATAATTTTATGTGTGAAGGATGATCCTGTTCTTTTCCTTGTCTTTTATGTGTTTCCATGGGAAATGGCATTGCAATGCCACATGGATATTACAGTTGTATTTTTATTCCCCATTTTTGGATAAGGGAATAGTCTGTTTGTTTTTTGCTTTTTGAGGCAGGGTCTCCCTGTATCCCCAGCTGGCCTGGAACTCACTGTGTAGACCAGACTGGCCCTCAGCTCATAGGGATCTGCTGCCTGCCTCTGCTTCCCAGTACTGGGATTAAAGATGTGAGCCACTATGCTGGGCAGAAAGGAGTGTTGTGATTTAGACATATCACATCGAGAAGTAGAATAGTAATAGCAATATTCTAATAATGACTGCATCTATGGAGCATTTACCATATATTAAGCCATGATGAGTCAGGATCCCAATAGGAGTCACAAACCTCCCCAGCTAATTCAATACAGAGATGTTGATGAATGCATTGCTAGGACAGGCCTCAGGAAATCCACCTGGGCCAGTCAGACTCCTTGAGCATGGCAACAACAAGAAGCTGTTGAGCTTCCTATGCCTGGTGGGTCAGGGCAAGTGATACCCTAGCACTCAGAGGCATGCTGGGGCAGCTCCCACCAGGTAGGAGCACTTGCTGTGGCAGAAACTTAAACAGTGAAAACATATACCTCCATAATGAAAACATACCCCCACAATGTTTCTGCTCCAGATGTTCAGTACATGCCTCCAACTAACTAACCCCAACCAAAAACCAGTGTGCACTGGAGTCACAGCCATGTACTCTGTAGTGTGAAACTCCTCTGAATGTCTGCAAGATGCACATCCAACCAAATGAAGTAGGATGATTTGGCTTGTAATGACATGAAATCCAACCCAAACTATGTTAAAACTAAGAGAATCTATTGGCTCATATGAATGATGGAGGCCCAGAAATAAGGTGGGTTCCACACACTTGGTGGAACCAGAAACTCAGGCTTAAAGAGACAGAATTGCTCTCCTTCTGCTATCTGTTCACAGCATTGGCTTGATTCCTGGCTAGTTCCTACAGGTCATGGGGAAGGCTGAGAACAGTCAGGCCGCATGCTTACTTATGCACATTCAGTATGGGAAAGCAGTCACTTTCTCTAACTCTCTCTGTGTTCACATCCACACACATCCCAGTGGCTTAATAGTAAACAATAATGCTTGCAGAGAAATTATAGTGATCTGCTTATTTCTCACAAGGGCAACACTAAAGGATTGAAAGTACAAATGCAGACTCTTGCATAGTGCTTTATTTTAAAGTTGTTCTTATTTTCTTCATTCTTACAGGTTATCAAGTGATCCCTGGTGGGCAAGCTAAAAAGTGCCTTATTCATTTGAAAATGGACAGAATATGTCTCAGGAAAACAGCTAGTAGAAATGAATTCTTAATTATTTTGTATTTACTTTTTGTTTTTATTTGTAACTTTGTCTTGTTTATTATTGTTTTAATAATGATATTTTTATTGTAGTCCAATAATTGGGAAAAAAGACCTGTTTAAGTTTCAACAGAAAGAAAGGATATTTCAATAAACTTTCTCTTAAGCTCTGCTACCAGGATTGTTAATCAAATAAAAGAGAAAAGGTGGGGAACAATTTAGATCTTAAGAACTGAAGCATCAGTTTTGTAGACTTACAATACGCTAAGAGTTTGAAATATATTATTTCATTTAATCCTTTCATCAATATTTGAAATACAGATTTTGGTCCTCATTCCCACATATGGAAAGAGGATGAAAGAAGTTAGATAATAGAACTTAAATTTAGAGATATAGGAATTGATGGAGATGGAGTAGAACCAAGATCAACCCAGATTCAAAGCTGGTCCTCCAAACTACCGTTTTTGTTCACTTGGCTTTCTATAATCCAAATCAGTAATATAATCCAAGATTCCCTATGAACTGTGCTTTGCTGTAGTTCTGAGATGTTAAGGAAATTTTCTTGCAGAATGCAGAGTCTTGGCCAGTGTTGATGTTAGCATCATGCTTTCTGTAGAGTTGATTTTCTTATATTTCTTTGCTCTTTTATGAAGTTTCAGTGCCATGAGTAAATAACTACATTACTAAAACAAACAGATTTGCCCCACAGCAATAGTGATGAATAGAGGTGGAAAAGTAAATGCCCAGTATTCTTTAAACTCCAGATAGGTAGTTATGCTCAATAAAGTATAAATAATAGCACTGCAAGAGGCTGAGATTGGTGGTGGCACAGCAGACTCTGTGAGACCATATGTGACCATAGCCTCATTTCCTTGTTCTAGTCAAAGCATGCATTACTGTTGTTAGGTGAATTTGGGTGCAATGGAATCATGACTGTCACATCTATTATTTGAACCATTTCCCATATATTCCTTCAACTCTATGTTATATTTAATAGAAACATGAAAAAGTGAAATTTATATTTAGCCAATATTCTGTAGAACATGGAACTTCTATATTTATTAAATGGATCATTTACAAAAGCCAAGGGGAAGATATCTCACAGACTGTTGCACTTCCCATGTATCAGAGCTGTCGTAAATTTTATTTTGTAATATAGAGTCCATAGATTCAAACAAAAGCTTAAACTTTGCATAGCATAGTGTTTTGAATGAGACTGGGGTTTTACTAATGTAGAAATAGCTCCCCTATGAATAACAGCTAAGTCAAACCACTGACAATTTTCAAAATACATTTTGTTTTCTTGTGACTCAATGGCCATGCTTGAAATAGGACTACATAAAACAAACTCATGTTGCATGTGTTTTATTTTATAAAGTCTCCTTTGGCTCATGTATGTCTTTTCTTCAGTCTTCTTTGATACTAAAAAAGCTTCAAACAAATGATTAGAACAGGACCACCAATGCTGTAATTGTCTTAACATAGTTTGACTCTGGGAATTTCATTTTTATCTGAAGTTTTTCATGGTGTCTCTTAAAGTTCTGATGTCAAGAAAGAATCGCCAAAACTTTTATGTCTTTTCAAAATGTATTTTTCGAATGTTTTTGCATTTACTACATTGTTTATATGTACTGTCAATGTTATTATGTAATAAAATAAATTTATTTTTAAACAAAGCAGCCATATTTTTACTTGAGAATTTTCTACTGGTATCATGAATTATTAGTAGAAATAAATGTAAACACTACTGCTCTTGAAAATTTGTGCTTTATAAAAACTATCCATTAATGCATTTGAAATATTGCATTTGGCCCATGTGTTTTCTTTAGAATTGAATTATTCTGAAGTGTGAGGACACCTATATGACCATCTGCCAATACTCTGGCCCCAACTTGGAAGTCTACTTCTGTAAGAGAGGAAGTGCCATGCTTAAGCACAGGCTGCACTAAGAGAACACAGCTTCCACTTTGGGAGCACAGCCTGCGCTTCTGCAAAATAGCCAACCTACAATCTGCCTGGATGAGGGGATCCTGCCCGGATGAGGGGATCTATCAGGAAGTGACATACCAATTTATGAGACACTGGGGGCAGGGGGAGAGGTATATAAGGCTTGTACTTCCCAGCAATAAACGAGTCTGCAGCACCTCGCGTAGTGCCTGCTCTCACCTGACTCCTGGAGTCTGTGTGTTGATTCGGCGCCACTCACCCCCACCTCGGCCAGAACCCTTGTTCCTTGCAGTCCCTCGTGGCCTGGACCCATGAGGAAACTTGCAACGCACCTCCAGCTACATTTGGTTGGTTTCATGTGGACATTTAATAAAATTGGGCCAATTAGAGTCATTGCAGGAGAACTGGGAACTTGACACCAGTCTTTTTTGGGATTTGGAGCATAAAAATGCCTACTTCTAAGTAATTGACATCTATATTTTGCTTCATGTGCACCCAAAAAGCAAACAAAGATGTCCAGGAGAGAGACAGAGAAACTTCAAGAAGATGCTCAGTGAACAGCATTGGATTACCAGCTTCACACACTGTCAGAGCTTCAGCTCATTCCTGTCTATGGGTTCCATTGAGACCTGTTTCTATCTCCAGGATAAGTTCTCACTTGGCTTGAGCTAGTTCTATTTGGGTTTCCTTAACACAGAACTTAGGTCCTGACCAAATATGGTGCATCCTGAATTGGTGTGCCTGTGAGCATGTTTCCAGAGGAAATTAGCATGTGATTCTGAGGGTAGGTGGAGAAACTCCACCTTCAATGGAGGTTGACATCATTAATTTGGCCAGGTGCCTGGAGAAAACAAATGTAGAGGTGAGTTGGTTTCTGCTCTGAGAGATGAGATGACATTATTTTTTACTACCTTCAACATCAGACCTCCAGGATTGCCAGTGTTAGGACCGTGGAACTTAGATTGGTATCCTTCTGGGTTCTCAGACTCCCCACCCTACATCAAAAGTTGCAATATTGGCTTCTCTGGATTGAGACCTTTCTACTTGAACTGATCCATATTGCTAATATCCCAGGGTCTCTAGAGAACTCTACCACAGATGTTCTGAGAGACTTAAGGTACTATGTATTATGAATGGAGGTGACTTAGCTTAGAGAGAGCCAAGGAAGGATCCCGGAAGAAGTTATACCTAGATTAATGATTGGCTTTCAGAGAAAAATGCCTCTGCCTCAAGCCAGAGAAAGCTCAAATATTTCTTGGGTTTTCTCAAATTCTACAGAATTCCTCTGAAAGCTCTGACAGTCTAAGGACCAATGGGTATTGTCAGGAATGAACAACAGAAACAAGGAAATCAAAGGACACCTGCCTCATCCCGGATTGCTCTGGGCATGGCTGGGAGAGTGAGTATATGCTTTGTAAGCTGTGATGCTTCTGAGTTCGAGGAGAGAGTTTCTTTCTTCTCTGCAGTGAAATATTTAGGACTTTTGTATTTTCCACTCATATGATTGCCCATGTGATTATGTGAGCAAGTCACACAGAAATTGGACCAAGTTTGGGTCAAAGGCTGGAGAAGTCCAGTGGCAGAGCACTTGCCTAGCCTGTACAAGGAAGTTCTGGGCCAAATAGCATGCTGTTGTTCTTTATTTTGTTTATTTTGTTTTGAGACAATTTTTCTAGGTAGATGCAGCAAGCCTGGAACTCTCTATTTTCCTTCTTCAGCCTCTAGAGTGCTGGGATTGGAGGCTGCACTACCACCCTCACAGATAAATGATTCTATTATCATTCATTCATTGGAAATACTCAAGACTGAACCCAGGGCTTTGTGCCTGGTAAACAAGTGCTCCACAACTGAGCTACATTTAGATGAGAACTTGTTTGAACAAATTTTATAAGGAAAATTAAGGACAAATTTAGTGTCCATGGCTTTAAGACCAAACTATTTCTTTAAGAGATGTTTATTTTAGTATAGTCTGCATATAACTGTTATGGTGGCTTAATCATTCATTCACCTGAAAGCATTATTTAAGTATATATTAAGTGCCAAATACCTTCAGTGCTAGGATTATGCCACTTACACAAAACAGATAAAATATTAATAAAAGTAAAACCCCCAAACCTCTGACCTCATGGAGCTTAACTTCTAGTGGATCTGGTCTTTCATAGTATAGAATTTAAATGAGATTTAGTCAAGATATTGTATTATGTTACCCAAGGAGATTATTATACTTTTAACCTAAACAGTTGACTTAGCATAGACTGAGGTTTGGAGTTCTGCTTGATGCTTAGTGGTTAACATGTTGTATAATAACTGCCAAGAGCACACATGTACAACTATATTTCCTTGGTCCAAAAATAGTTTTGAGTAATCTTCGCTATGCTTGAGAGAGGTAAGTGCTACACTTGGGCATCTTCTGTTCTTCAAAGAGTCATTTATGCGTCAATGCACTTTTTTTTTTTTTCTGCAAAGGAACCAGTTCCCATGTGATCCTCTTTGGCAGCCAAGTGTTAATGCCAGAACATAACGTGCAGTCAGTCCACTCTTGCCTCTGTGCTAGTGCACTGGACCCTAGGAGTATGTGTCTTATCATAACATCTAGTTGGCTTCAAGCTCTTCATTCTTCCATCAGCCCTGTCAGATACTGGCATTTGATATAGCTTGAAATTATTTATTAGGAAACTATAAAACTCTGAAAACGGAATCAGTGCTTTAGATGATAAATAATGAAGATTGTTGCTAGAAAATTCAAAATGTAGGTCTTGAAGTGGGCTCAGTCAAGGATTATGATCTAAAAGCAATGTTGACCAATCATTGTTTTAAAGGACTTTCCATGTTTTACTATTTTCACTGAAGTTTAAGTTACATAATAGATGAATAAATACTTGTGTAACAGAAGTGCTTTGCAAAACTTACTTTCCTCATCTTTTGTCCAGTTTGAGAGTAATACAGGCAAAATTCTTCATAAACACAGAACTCCTTAACATTGCTTTTTGTGGCAAATGCAATTATTCTTGTAAAATGAATACAGAATAAAAAATATTTTAAAGCTTTGTGATCTGAGCTAGATGATGGTGTGCACTATTCTGAACTTTAGCAGGAAATAAGAGAAAACCTTGTATTTGACTTAATCTCTAAATCCACTTTCCAGATACTGCAATGTGTGAACTAATTAAAATAAACCCATTTCTAGTATATGTGTATACATATATATGTGTGTGTGCATATATATGTATGTATATTCTACATTTGCATTATATACACATAAATCCCAGGAACATTTTGTCTCCCCATGAATCAGAAGCAGGGATTCTTAAATATCATTTACATAGCATTCTTATATGGTTGGTTGGTTTCTATTTGTTTCTTGTTTCATTCTTAAAACAAGGAGACTTTATTCTTGAATATCTTGCTAACACTTTTGCCCCTAACTCTAACTGGACTTCTAAATATCTGAACTCTTAATGAAACCAGTGCTTGTGGGGAAGGAGAAATTCACTTCTGAACTGTTGCAAAGTGAAAGTCATGAACATAGAGTCTCTGTTTAGACATAGGGCTTCAATCTCTTACTTCGCTGTGAGGCTTTGGGCAAATTATTTAACCCCATTAAGGTTCGTGATCTACAAAGTCAGAATAAATAGCAAATAGGGCAAATTAAGAGAATTAATTGAGAGTATGGTAGTTAAATGCTTGGTGTGGCACCAGGAGTATCTTGAGGATTCTAGGTACTAGTACAATTAATGCTAGTTGTTATTACTAAGCTCAATAGAACTGGGGATGGTCAAGGGAAGCAAGGACTATTCTGAGGTTGGATGGCTGCACACATGCAGTAAGTTCACTGTGTTTTTAAGGGTTTATGATTCCTGTGGAAGGAATGCTTTTCTGTTCTTGTTGGAAGAGTCTGTGCTTAGGTGGGGATTCCACCCCAGTGACCAGTCCTATGACACTGGCTCATTTGCCTTATTTATCTGTTTATGTGCATTCTGTTTGCCTTACATATTTTTTAAGAGCATACAGGAAAAGACAAGAAAAACTATAATGCCATTGAAAATAATCATGACTAATAATTGTTTTATTTTTATGTGTATGAGTGTTTTGCCTACAGGTATGTAAGTGCATTACATGTATGCAATACCTTCAGAGGCCAGAAGAGGGCATTGGATCCCCTGAAACTGGCATTATGGATGGTTGTTAGCTGCAATGTGGGTGCTGGGAACTGAACCCAGGTCCTCCACAAAAACAATGACTGCTCTTAACTACTGAGCCATCTCTGTAGCCTAGGACTAATTGTTTTTAAAATTGTGCTGAGATAGGTATAAGTTAGATACTTTTGATGAACATCAAGGCTGATTTTAAAAATAACTTGGGCCAAGGACTGAAATAGCCACACACTGTTATTCACAGTGACCCTGTATAGTAAGCATTATGCTATTTCCTAGATGATAACTTTGAAGCTTAGGGAGCTTAAGGACCATGCCAGAGATCATAGTGCTTGTCCGTGATTGCCATCTGCTTCTTAACTTGGCATCTTCAATTCTGAAACCACAGTAACATTGAAAATATCTACTTCCAAAATGGAACATAAGAAAGGAAAGTAATATATTGTTGTGAGCCTATGG